ATTCTAAGTTTTCACTGTACCTTTTCTATGCTTAGATATGTTTAGATACACAAATACTTACCATTGTGTTGCAATTGCTTACAATATTGAGCACAGCCTTCATACAGTAAAGTATGCTGCAGAGGTTTGTAGCGTAGGAGTGATAGGCTATAGCACATAGCCTAAATGTGTAACAGACTATACCATCTAGGTTTGTGTAAGTGTACTCTATGATGTTGACAAAACAATTAAATCACCTAGTAATGCATTTCTCAGAACATGTCCCATCATGAAGTGATATGTGACTATATATATGCATGTATCTTCAGAAGGAGAGAATAGAAATAATAATGGAAGGAAAATATCCAGCAGATAGCAGCTGAGATTTTTCCAAGATTAAAGAAAATCTGCAATCCTCTAACAAAGTGCACAGAGTGCAAAGCACAATAAGAAAAACCATTTTTTCTTATTGTGTATAAGAACTGTATATATACAATATACAACCAATTTATATATTGTAAAATCCTGAACTTGCAACTAAAGAGATAAAAGGAAATACACCAAAGTGTCAGTAGTGTTTACCCATGGTGATAGGATTTGGAGTGAGATTTTTATCTTCTTTAAACTTTAATGTACTTCCTAAGTGCTCCACAATGAAAAGACATTATTTTTATATGTCTGTGTAGGAGAGAAGCATTTGTTATGTCAAATACACATAAACAGATAAATAGTTTAAAAAAAATCTGCCCTCAAAGGACTTACACTCTAGTAGAAGAGAAGAGACTTGCATAAAAATAACATAGAAAACAAAACTCAAGCGATAACTGGCATGGATGGATATAGTTAAAATCTGAGCCTTGTCTTTTCCTACACGGAGCAATTAGAAATAAGGGCAGAAGTGGTGGCATGATACAGGAGTTCGGGACACTGAGCAGAAGTATAAAGATCTAGCCCATATTCTGGGCTTACTAGGGTCTATTACTGTAGCTGAAGTGTATTTCACTTGGACGGGGTCAAAATGACCAAACCAACATAGAATTAGAACTTTATCTACATCAAGGATTATTTTCACCTCTAATTTATTTATTTATATTTTTTAAATTTTCTTTTTTGAGACAGAGTCTCACTTTGTTGCCCAGGTTTGGGTGCAGTGGTGTGATCTTGGCTCACTGCAACCTCCACTTCCCAGGTTCAAGCAATTCTCCCTGCCTCAGCCTCCTCAGTAGCTGGGATCACAGGTGCCCATCATCATGCCCGGCTAATTTTTGTATATTTGTAGAGATGGGTTTCACCCTGTTGGCCAGGCTGGCCTTGAACTCCTGGCCTCAGGTGATTTGCCCGCCTCAGCATCCCAAAGTGCTGGGATTACAGGCATGAACCACCTCACCTGGCCTTATTTTCACCTCTAATTTAATTATATTGCAAGACCACCCATTGATGACAGTAAAAAGTTAACACCACAAAAATCTGCCACATTTGCATGACATTTAATTGTTATAAGGCTTTATTGCTTTCTTCAAGGGTCATGTAGATTGAGAAAAGGGTGAAAAAATGTGTGTGTGTGTGTGTGTGTGTGTGTGTATGTGTGTTCATTTTAATCAATAATCAAATTACCATTCTTATCGGCAGGGCACTATCATTATGCCAACTTAGAAATAAATACAATACAGGTGTGTTCTGGGTGGCTTTACCAAATCAACATCATTTTATCAGGAGGCAGAGCCCTCGTCAATCTAGAAAGGTTGAGTCTGCAGTCATAATACCATTGGCACACCCAGGCAAGGCAGAGTTTTAAGCAATGCACTGTGACTGTTTCTTTGGAGCCAAATAAACTCAAGGTAAAGCTCTAAATGAAACAGGTGGCAGACGCACACACCATCTAGATATGTTACTAATGGAAGGAAGGGCTGTTCACATCTCAGATAATCTCCTTTCTAAACACATCCCAGTTTCTCAAAATACCACCTTTTAAACCAACTCATCTCGATATCAATCAATTCCTTTCAATATCACCGTTCCACATGGGGACTAGACATATGCCCCAATGTTACCTCCACTGAGCTATTTGATTCCCTGCCACCTTGCCTCATCTCCTTATACTTCCACCAGAATCACAGACCGGGCGCCATATCTCCAAAACCAACTCCGAAAGTCCCAACAACAATTGGGAGTATCGAATCCCCTCCCCCATTTTTGAAACAATGGACCCTTTCCTTTTTCTTCTTTCCAACCCCTCTGAAATCTCTATTCTTGATTTCTCTGGAAATGTCTTTTCTCATCTTCCTCTTGCCCTTTCCTGATTCCTTTTCTCTTCTTACTCTTAAGTGAGGTCACCTTTTAGTCAACATCACCATAAGGTAGTTTCATCCCAAAGGAGAGAAGAATGTTTCCACCTGTACTCCCTGGACTTCTCAAAACTTTGTTTCTAATGCCCCTGTCAAGGAAAGAACAGTTGCTGATCTAGTTAGTCAGAGCCTGCCATTCACTGGGTCAAAATTCAATAGCAGGCAGATTCACCACCTATCAAGGGGGTTCCCATCCATGACCCTACACTCTTCCTGCTTCTCTCTGCCTACAGTTGGATGAATGAGTCACTTGAGAGCCTGAGCCACACACCTATCAGCTGAGACTTAGAAGAAAGAGCCGAAGCCTGCCCAGAACCTCCCAGTCTCACACCACCTTTTCCAATTCAGCTTTTCCCAGATTTCTCCATTGGGTTGTGCCAAACCCTCATGGATCCAGAAATTTCACTTTCAGTATGATTACTGTTTCTTGTCTATCGCTCCTTGGAAGAAGGGATCCATGGCAATATTCAAATCCCCAAATCACACTCCAAAGCCTGGCTGGAAACTGGCTGTTCTCCCTAAATGACTTCATTAGAAGACCCGCCCCTCCTATAGAAAAAGCCCTCTAGGCTGTGATTCATCACAGCTCTCCATTCTCAGCCCCTCCCACAAAATGAAACTGATTCCTTGTTCCTCCTGAAGATGGACGACATCATTAAAGTATAGGCTTAATTTAGTGGAAGATCACAACTTGGGACCAGAAACTCAGCTACCTAGCTCCATCACCTACTGTGTGGTCTTGGCAAAGTCCCTTAACTTCCCTATGCCTCAGTCACTTTCTCTGAAAGTTACAGGATGCTGCAGGAAACCCTAAGGTCCTCTCCACTTCTGAAATTGTCAGTGGTGGCAGAGCATGGCTATTCCTAACTCTCTTCTTCCCAGAAAGGAGCCCCCCAGAACTGAGAAGTGGCTTGGAAAATGCTCAACCACACACAGAAATTCTGCTAGGCTGCAAACCATTTAAAATGAATGTTTAATAAGATACTGCATCAATTGTGTGCTTCAGCTGAATGTGCTGCAGGCCCGGAGACCTGAAAGAATTAATACGGTTCCCAAAGGAGCTGCTGAGAATTGCTGAAACAGAGGCAAAAGCTGATGTGATGAATATAAACGTGGCTTGAGAGCATCAAAAGGAAAGTGCTACAATGAATGTCTGTTCACTCCACTAGAATATCTCCTGCCATCTAAGGAACACTCTCCAAGAAGATCTCAGGGTTAGAGACCATGGCACTCAGGTACACTTACCCTTTCCTCTCCTTCTGAACTCCCAGCCCTTTCTCAGGGCTTAGAAAGACACAACACCAATCCTTCCCTTTCTTCTCATTCCTCCCTTTACCTCTCCATTCCAGCCTTCTTCCTTCCCTCCAGTTCTGTGTAATTCCCAAACCAGGCTGTCATAACATCTCACTCAAATCTTCAAATCTCTCTCCCTTCTTCACCAAACTGATGCTCCCAGACTGTCCACAAAAAGACCCTCCCTCTCATTCTAAGCCAATAGATTTTTTGAGACTCTTTCTTGCATTCTGAGACCTCCAACTTTAGCACCAAGACCCATCTTCGTTCAGGAGCCAGCTCCTCCATCTGAGAGCCTTGGAGCCCCAGACAGAGAACATGTAAGGAAAATGCCAGGCCTCCATGCTCTGGGTTTGGAGTTAATTCTCTCCACTCACACCCACTCCCCTAGAGGAACAGTCTCTCCTCCACTCCTCTAGCCCAGGGCTTCTCAAACTCCCACCTCTGTTCCTCTCATTGCAGAGTCTGAGGAAGCATGACATTTTTTCTGCCCTTTTGTGTTTTACCTAAAAACTTTGCATTTTCTTCCAGAACCTACCCACATTTAATAATTTTTATAAATAGTTTAAGTCACTTACCATAAGAGTAAGAGGAAAAAATGGACATTTTCCCACAAAACAATCAGGTAAAACAGGCATTGTGGGAATAGGAACCATACGTCTCCAGTGCTCTTGAGCCCACCTCTGTGCCCGGCGGTACTTGTAAATCTCCAAACATGCCACCGCCGCCGCCATCACCACCCCACTACCTACTTCTCAGTTTTCTGAGCTCTTCCTGACACACCCACACCGAAGTGCTCCTGTGTACACCATGTTCAGAAATAAGGCAAAAGGCATCTCCATTCATTTCCGGGTTGAAGAAGCAAGACCTGGTTCTCACCAGGGCCAGTGGCCACGACCCTCCCACCCCCACCCCCACTTCACATCAAGACAGATTCTAAGGGCGTCTGAAAACCTGAAGCAGCTGCCAGACAGCTGGTCGCTTCCTAGGTCCTGGCACGGCATCACCTCCCGGCCTTACCTTGTCAGCCATGATCATAGATGCGCCCCCATGAATGCCCAAGATGGGGATGAAAGTCTGGGAGGAGATAAAATCCAGCATCTGAGCCACGGCCTCCTGGTCCGTGTCGTCCCCAAACACGAGGCCGTGGATGCGCGCCCCGGACATGAGGTCACACACGTGCGTGATGAGGCTCTTGGGGTCGGTGCGGTTCATCAGCAGAGCTACCACGTTCACGTCCAGGGGCAGCCCCGCAGCCTGCTCGGGGCCCCACAGGGTTCGAAGTTCACGCTCCGTCACGTCGTGGCTGTGACCCAGCATCACCGCAATATTCAGCGCGGGGGAACCCTTCTCCGCCGCCGAGCTCGGCGCCGGACCGCGCCAGACCAGAAGGGCCGGCAGCACCAGCAGGGTCCAATAGCCCACTCTGCCCATAGTCGCCACTGACGGTCCCTGCAGGGTGAAGAGTGAGAGGCAGGGACGCGGTGAGCAAGGCGACCAGAAGAAAGGGATTACCGACTGGGTCCCGGCTGTAGGAGCCAGGCGTGGAACTCAGCAGCAGGATAGGCTGCTGGGATCACAGACTCCACTCCCAATCCCCGACGCCATCCATGTGCCTCGACGCATCTCTAACTCTATCTCCAACTCCAATCCGAGCTTCTCGCATCCAGCTTCCTCATTCCCCGTCTCCAGGCGCTTCCCCATCCCCACCTCTGTCCACATCCCCCACCGCGTCCCCCAGTTCGCTGCGGAGCACAGACCCTAAGCGCCGCGCGCGTTCTGGAACCCACCAAGCCAGCAGGTGCACCGCATAAACCCTCCATCCAACCCCTCCCAGCCGGGATAGAGAGGCCCAAGTTATCAGCCCCGCCCCCTGCTCGCGAGGAGCGAACTACAGAATCGGTGGGATGTGCCGAGGCGGCGCCTGGGCCCGGCGTCCGGGCGTGAAAGCTGAGCTCCTTGGCTGACCTCGACCCTGCGAACTCGTCGGGTGCACCCCACGCTTTGCTCTATGCTTCGCGCTAACTACAGACCCGGCTCCTCTGATGCAGAGTACACCTGAGGTAACTGCGGTCTGAGGTAACTGGGGCCTGAGGTAACTGGGGGGTCTGAGGTAACTGGGGGGTCTGAGGTAGCTGGGGGGCCTGAGGTAACTGGGGTCTGAGGTAACTGGGGCCTGAGGTAACTGCGGTCTGAGGTAACTGGGGCCTGAGGTAACTGGGGCCTGAGGTAACTGGGGGTCTGAGGTAACTGGGGCCTGAGGTGACTGGGGTCTGAGGTAACTGGGGCCTGAGGTAACTGGGGCCTGAGGTAACTGGGGCCTGAGGTAACTGGGGCCTGAGGTAACTGGGGGGTCTGAGGTAACTGGGGGGTCTGAGGTAGCTGGGGCCTGAGGTAGCTGGGGGGTCTGAGGTAACTGGGGGCCTGAGGTAACTGGGGTCTGAGGTGACTGGGGGTCTGAGGTAACTGGGGGGCCTGAGGTGACTGGGGTCTGAGGTGACTGGGGTCTGAGGTGACTGGGGGCTGAGGTGACTGGGGGTCTGAGGTGACTGGGGGTCTGAGGTGACTGGGGGCTGAGGTAACTGGCGGTCTGAGGTGACTGGGGTCTGAGGTGACTGGGGTCTGAGGTGACTGGGGTCTGAGGTAACTGGGGGTCTGAGGTAACTGGGGGTCTGAGGTAACTGGGGGCCTGAGGTAACTGGGGGCCTGAGGTAACTGGGGGCCTGAGGTAACTGGGGTCTGAGGTGACTGGGGGGCCTGAGGTAACTGGGGGCCTGAGGTGACTGGGGGCCTGAGGTGACTGGGGGCCTGAGGTAACTGGGGGCCCGAGGTAACTGGGGGCCTGAGGTGACTGGGGGCCTGAGGTGACTGGGGGCCTGAGGTAACTGGGGTCTGAGGTGACTGGGGGGCCTGAGGTGACTGGGGGGCCTGAGGTGACTGGGGGGTCTGAGGTGACTGGGGCCTGAGGTGACTGGGGCCTGAGGTGACTGGGGGCTGAGGTGACTGGGGGGCCTGAGGTAACTGGGGGGCCTGAGGTAACTGGGGCCTGAGGTGACTGGGGTCTGAGGTGACTGGGGGTCTGAGGTAACTGGGGGCTGAGGTGACTGGGGGTCTGAGGTAACTGGGGGCTGAGGTAACTGGGGGGCCTGAGGTAACTGGGGGGTCTGAGGTGACTGGGGGTCTGAGGTAACTGGGGGCTGAGGTGACTGGGGCCTGAGGTAACTGGGGGTCTGAGGTAACTTGGGGTCTGAGGTGACTGGGGCCTGAGGTGACTGGGGCCTGAGGTGACTGGGGCCTGAGGTGACTGGGGGGCCTGAGGTAACTGGGGGGCCTGAGGTAACTCGGGGGTCTGAGGTAACTGGGGGGCCTGAGGTGACTGGGGCCTGAGGTGACTGGGGCCTGAGGTAACTGGGGGGCCTGAGGTGACTGGGGTCTGAGGTGACTGGGGGGTCTGAGGTGACTGGGGGCCTGAGGTGACTGGGGTCTGAGGTGACTGGGGGCCTGAGGTGACTGGGGGTCTGAGGTGACTGGGGCCTGAGGTGACTGGGGTCTGAGGTGACTGGGGGGTCTGAGGTGACTGGGGGCCTGAGGTGACTGGGGGTCTGAGGTAACTGGGGGCTGAGGGAACTGGGGGGCCTGAGGTGACTGGGGTCTGAGGTGACTGGGGGGTCTGAGGTAACTGGGGGTCTGAGGTGACTGGGGGCCTGAGGTGACTGGGGTCTGAGGTGACTGGGGGTCTGAGGTGACTGGGGCCTGAGGTGACTGGGGCCTGAGGTGACTGGGGTCTGAGGTGACTGGGGGGTCTGAGGTGACTGGGGGCCTGAGGTGACTGGGGGTCTGAGGTGACTGGGGCCTGAGGTGACTGGGGTCTGAGGTGACTGGGGGTCTGAGGTGACTGGGGTCTGAGGTGACTGGGGGTCTGAGGGAACTGGGGGCTGAGGGAACTGGGGGTCTGAGGTGACTGGGGGCCTGAGGTGACTGGGGTCTGAGGTGACTGGGGGTCTGAGGTGACTGGGATCTGAGGTGACTGGGGGTCTGAGGTGACTGGGGGCTGAGGTGACTGGGGGTCTGAGGTGACTGGGGTCTGAGGTGACTGGGGGTCTGAGGTGACTGGGGTCTGAGGTGACTGGGGGTCTGAGGTGACTGGGGGCTGAGGTGACTGGGGGTCTGAGGGAACTGGGGGTCTGAGGTGACTGGGGGCCTGAGGTGACTGGGGTCTGAGGTGACTGGGGGTCTGAGGTGACTGGGGGTCTGAGGTAACTCGGGGCTGAGGTAACTGGGGGCTGAGGTAACACGGCCACGCGCCAAGGGCCGTGGAGAGTCCTTCAGTCAACTGAAAGTGGGCTCGGGACCCACCCGCTACACGCGCGCGTGCACACACACGTGCGAACACGCACCCTCTCTCAAGCGCGCCGTGTGCGGTGCAGAATTCTGGAGAGTAGGCGCGTCCCCCCGCGGGCCAGTGCGTGGGAGCTGGCACAGAACGTGCGTAGGGGGAAAGGTAGGCTCCGAAGAAGCTCCCAGACGAGCGTGGACTGTGCAGCCCCTCCCCAGCCTTTCTGCTGCGGGCGCGGTTGCCAAGTCTTAGGTGCACGTGGGCAGTGGGCCGCACCCGCTCAGAGACACGCGCGCTTTCTGCTCGCCTCCTCAGGCCGCTGTAGCGGTGCCCACGGCCAGCCAGAGTCCTCGCACGTCCTCAGGTGGCGCACACGCATGAGCCGCGTTAGGCGCACAGCCCCGCGTGCCTGCAAATACCAGTGCGGTCGTGCTCGCGTGCCCTGACGCGCGCCTCCCGAGCCGGCTGCTGCTGGAGCCGAGGGGAGTTGAGGCGAACTCCAAATAGCCTCGACTTCCTGGGTGAGCGCCGCAGAGCGCGGAGCTGCAGCGCCCCCTGGTGCCCCTGCTGTGCCTCTCCGCTGGGCTCCCTCCCGCTTTCCCTTTCCGTCTCTTCGCCCGATCCCTCTCCCGCTCTCCCTCAGGTCGAGTCTCCCTCCTCCCGGCCCACAGAGCCCTGATCTCCCGCTGGGACGTACCTGTAGCCAGAGAAGGTCGAGGATGCAGTGGGACGCGCTGCGCGCACGAGCATCTCGGCCGCCTCAGCAGCCACCGGGTTTAGCGGGTTCCCGCATGCTGCGGCCCCCGCGCTCTCCCCTGGCTGTCCTGCGCTGTCCGCATCGCCCCCACGGGGGGCGGCTATCCCAGCCGGAGGCTCTGCAGCAGGGCTCTACGGGGAGGAGGAGAGAAGGAGAGGCAGTGTCAGCCCACCAGCGAGGGGCGGGAGGGTTGAGGGAAGGCTGCAGTCTGCAGTGCTCACAAGCCCCCCATGCGCCCAGCGGGGCTAGACAAGAGGGAGAAGCTGAAGCTCTGTGCCTACGACGCCCCCAGTGCGGATCCTCAGCCCCTGTGGTTGATAGCTGGAGCTCCACTCCGGGGCGCATAGGAGAATGGGAGCCCCAGGTTGGCCACCCACGAGAAGCTAACTGGGCACCGCTACCAGCACCCCCTACCACCTCCCCAGCTCCGGCTGCTGCGAGTTGTGCGACCCGAGCTGCTGAGCGAGGGGGGTAGGGAGAGAAAAAGGAGGTAACGGCGGGGGGGGGGGGGGGCGCTGACTGAGTTTGCGATGAGCCGGCAGGAGGAGAGGGGGAGGGAAGGACACGGGCTCCCGCGGTCCCGGTTCTCCGAGGGAGGTGGATCGTTCCCACGCAGCGAGCCTCTTGCGATCCTGCTGCTCCCTCCCTCTCCAGGCCTCCCACCTCCCCCACCCCAAGGGGGCCTCCTAAGACAGCCGTCCCGCACTCACCGCAGCCTCTCTCCACATAGTTCTCAGCAGTGGCCGCTCCTGGTCATCTCCAGGGCTGATGGCTGCGGCCGCGATTCTCAGCGCTCACCAGGTCCCATGATCCGGCCAAGCCCTAGGAGCCCCCCTCCAAGAGCCCTAGCTCTGTTCTCTGCCCCACTCCGGACGGCAACCGCCGGGTCCTCTGAGCGCGCCGGAGCACCCTCTCCGCAGCCCAGCTCCGGGCTGGTGTGTTTGAAGGAGAGTGTGTGTGAGAGTGAGTGTGGGAGCAGGCGCTCGCGTGTGGCCGGGGATCCCCACGGTCCCGGCCGAGAGAGGCGCAGGCGGGCAAAGCCGGCTCCCTCCCAGCGGTTTGCTGGGGGGCTAGCTCAGCGCCGGGCGTTCGGTTTCCTACTTCCAGGCGGGAGTCCGGAGAGCGCCTGGACACCCTGGTTCTCAGCACTGGCAAAGCCGGGTTCCCGGGGTGTGTTTCTGCTGCTGTCACCTCCGAGGAAGAGGAGGAGGAAGGCAGGGGCGCCCTCCACACCAACTTGGGGACTTATTCTCCGCCAGTGAGACGCAGTAGCCCCCGTGCAAGCCGAAGAGGCTTAGAGCTCTGGCGGGAGAAAGCGTCTCCTGCCCGCAGCCTCTCTCCTAGGTGGGTTGAGACAGACCCTGCAATCCCTCGGCGGCGGTGCAGAGCGCGGCCACCCGTTTGGAGAGCGCACGGCGGCAAATAAGGCCAGGATAGGTGGCTGGCTGGCTACGGGGGCGCCCGCAGTGGCGCGCGCCTCTGTCCGTGGTGCTGGAACCACGCTCTCCGCCCGCTCCCGGGCGTCTGGTGTGGCTGAAGAATCAATTATTCAGATCTCTGCTACTGCTTCCTCCTCCCCCAGTGCCTCGCGCTGGGTACAGCTATCCCCCTCCACGCAGAGGCGCGCCGACACACACACGCACACGCACAGAGTCTGCTCCAATGCTTCTCCCTGTGCCTTGCCACCTCAGTGCGGGAACCCACTCCTCTGATCTCAGGGAGCCAGAATCCTAAAAGCAAAGACATCTACATTTTCCACTTGCTTCCTTCTAAGTTGTACCAAATAGAATTCTCTCTGAGGCTGCCACTTCTAAGCTACCAGAAGAGGTGAGCCAGATAACATGGGACGGCCTTGGTTGACTGGAATTCTAGCGACTGAGCATGGAACTCATCATCAAGTGAGGAGCTCTGCCCTTTTGATACTCACCTGTATCTCCTATGCCTGTCTGCCTTTCAGGCCTTGGAAGAAAAAGGTTCTTAAATTCT